GTCAATAAAATGAACAGAATGGTCAGTACAGGCCGTTGAAAGCCAGGTGTTCAGTTCAAACAATCTGCTGAATCTCTCCACTCCTCTTCTGACTGGTGGTAGAGGGCCACTGATGAACACATCTGCATTTAGAGAGCTGACAGTTTCCAACAGACATTTAAAGTCTTTTTTCAGCACTTCTGACTGTTGTTTCACAAAATCATTTGTTCCAATGTGTAGTACCACATTCTTCACAGTCAGATGTTCAGCCCCAATATGCAGGATCTTCTCAGCCAAGTCAGTGACCACATCCTTGGGAAAACAGAGTACTTTGGTGTTGTTCTTATTACACAGACCTTTTACATCTCTTACAGCAGAGTCATCCACAATCAGAGTTTCAGGCCCAGTCGTTAGCTTTCCCTCTAGCCTTTTACTTTTAGAGTAGCTATTGGTCCTTACCCTGCTGTGTGAAGAGGACAGGTTATCCAGGTCATCAGATCTCCGGTTCTCGGTCAGCGGAGCGTATCTGTTCTGGATTGGCACACTTGGTGGTTTAGGAGGATTGTTTGTAATTCTCCCTTTAGCAGCTGTCCACTGCTGTTTCCTAGTATGAATAGGGGTTGAAGAGGCGCTCCTCCTGGGTGATGACAATGCAGGCCAGCCGGTCGCATCACAGATTTCTGAGCGCTGGGCTCTGCCTGTTATCCGTCCTCCCAAATCCCATGGAAATGATTTACTCTTAGGTTTTGCACCCAGAGAGTTCCAGGGAGGACTACCACTTGTAGATTTATTACCCGGTACACAGCCCTCCTGTTCCTTGGAATCCTTGTAGCTGCTAACTAGCTGTGAGTTAGCATACCCTTCTCCATTATTTTGCAACACAGGTAAAGTGGTGTCATTCCCACGACATAGTCCATTCACTTCCACGTTAACTTCCAACCGTTGCATTTTCATTTCCAACACAGCCATCTTCTGTATACATTTTTGGAAGTCATCTGTAGAGAACGGAGGCATTTTGCTACCAACTAGCATGCAGTAGCCTACCAGGCTTTAGCTGTTGCTAGGCCACGCTACTGTAAGACTGACGTCGTCGTAAAAATGTTGAAATATGGCTGAAACCCTCCGTCTATTTACGAAGATGAACTGTCTCAGTGATAAGTTAATGTCCAGGAGCCGCTGCTCGAAGTTTTCAGAGAATAAGAATTGGAAAATCAGCATAAAAAGTAAGCAGAGGCAGGAGCAAGCAGAAAAAGCGTCTGCACTGTAAGAAAGATAAGCATAACCGTATAAGCGTAAAAGGGCATCCTGACCTGAAACTCTGGTGAAAGCTAAAAAAGGTCACGAGTGTCATGCTAAGACAAGCACTCCAATATAAAAAAAGTAAAACGAGACAAAAAACTCCTTTAAAAAAACAAACAACACTCTTGTGGCACTCTACCGCTTGACACACACTGTCAGAGAGAAGAGTACATGATTGATCACATTTTTCACTTATTTTATCCATTCTAGATAGCAGAGTTGTGCTAGACAGTTATAAAATGGAGAAAGTTCACTCTAACCTGAAATGCCAGGCAAGAACAAAAGCCAAAGCGAACACAGTTTAAGGTTTGGAAAAGTACCAGTGGATTCTTGACAGACAGAGCTCACCTGTTTTTAAAAGCCAGCAGGCTTCATCGACATTTGTCTGAGGTGCTAAGCAGAATCCCCGGGGGGTTTTGATACTGCCTCACTTTAGTGTGGCGGTTGTCAGACTGATATGGGGAAAAACAGACTGAGAGAAAGGGGGGGAGCTGTAGAGACAGAAGATGAGGGCAGGGCGGGGGTAAATGAAGGAAGGGCAGGGGATCAAAGAGAAGCAAGAGAGAGAGGGGAGCTTGGACAAAGCAGTCTAGGTTGAATTTTGATGAAAAGAGAAGAAAGGAGAGAGAATGAAAGTATGATATTTAGAAGAAGAAACACTGATGGGAATTTGAACCAGTACAGAACAATTTAAGAGAGCATCTGAGGGTGCAACTCCATTCAAACTTTTAGTAAGGAGTCTCTGGAGTGGCTAATGTTGATTGATATTTTAGTGATACCGTCTTGTTTTCCTCGAAGACCAAATTCTTCCTACAGAATTTGCTGTCTAACTTAATGCTCCCCACTAATGTTTACTTGGTGATTTTACTGGGAGAATAGGACTACAGGCATCTTATTTCCCCTCCGCTCTAAATGTCAAAGTGAAGATGGTCTAAAAGAGCTCCTCATTTCTGCTTCTATGCCTGGCTCTCTTTACTGCTATCCCTCTCCTCTCCTCCTTTTTTTGATATGCCAGTGAACTCGCTGGTTCTCTTTGTGTTTTTTATACAGGAGATTAGTATTTCTCAAGTCAGTCACCTTTTAGAACATTTCATAAAGAAGGTGAGATATACAGTCCCCGTACTACGGTCAAAATATCAAAACTTTGCAAAGAAATGCTGGAATGTAGTGTGTTCGTAATGTACAAGTTGGTTACACATTATTTTTACATTGCATTTGAAGCACTATCCCATCATACATCCCGTGAGATTGACAAATGAAAGTTTATTATTAACCCTCTAAGAGAGAAACATAATCTATGCATTTTAATACGTTGGCTTTGAAGTTTATAACTCAACAGATTTGAGTCATTTGACATTTAAGCATACATAACTCAGTGTTGAGCTTGTTTTTTTACTTAAAAAACCTCAGCTAATTTGTTGATTGATTCTTTTGGATCTCATGTTACTCTTACCATGGTATATGAATCTTTAGCTAACCATGCTTACTAACTCATTTATTCACAGCACCCATGGACATAACCAGAACAGACTCCCAAAGCATAATTTAACAGCTTAGATTGATTGTTCTTGTGTACTTATTGCAGTGTGAACAGAGCTCTAATTGTACCCATGGACAACTATTAACCAAGGGTAAATGCTAATCCTTAAATGAGAATGTAGAAAATGTAAATGGCTTTTCAGAATGTGTCTTTTACTACCCCATAATCGTAAAGTACTGCAGTAAATATCTCATTTATCCAGCCATACAACAGCCTTGCAATTACATTCATAATGCACAAACTGTCATAAAGTAATCTGTTTCATTTGATCTTCTAATCGGCATTTTTTATGTACAGTATAAGGGTCCAGGCAAAGATGTCACAAAAGGGTTAGTCAAGTCATTTTTTAAAAAATGGAAGAATCTGATTTTTGACTGTTTTCTAATCTGGTAAAAAATATATTCTAACATTGTAAGCAGTTAAAAAATATGCTACTTGTTATACTTAAACTGACTGAACGAGTAGAGTAGGCTCCGAGCAATGGAGCTATAGCTTTTTAGATAAGGTCAGTTGTGCTTCTTCAATTGAGTTTTAGTGTTGGCTGGAAGGCAAAGAAAGATGAGGAACGCTGTGACATTGAGTAACAGGGACTCCTGTTGGAAGTTCCTCCTTATATCCGTCCTCCGCTGTGCTAAATATGTGTTGAAGGTGAAACAAAGAACAAAGACCATGCACCAGAGACATGCTGCTCCAGAGGCCCATTTACTGCTTAATGTGTTCTCAAATGGGACAGCTGATTACAACAGTGCCTTGTTTGATCTCCTGCTGCTGTTTGTGTTCATGTGTGTATGAATCCAACCCCACACCACCACAACAGTGCCACAGCTGTGAATAGAGAGTCCCATCAGTTTGGAGGCTTGTAACGAACTCAGGACTTAAAAGATGACTTACTGTATCATTAGTCATTTTCGGAGCGATTCCCCCCCTTCTTTCTGACAAACAGCCAGGAGGTCTGCTGTGCTTAACATTAAAAAGCTTTGTTAATTAGAAAGGTGTTTGATATGCAGCTCTGCAACCGAGAGACACACACACTCTAAAATATGAGGAGGATCACACAGTTGTGCTTTAATGAATAATCAAAGCTCTTGACAAAGAAGTCTCCTTTTGAGTTGATAATGATGGTGGGATGCAGAATAAGAAGATGGACTTGTTCGTTTTGGCTCCTTTCATCTGTGAATGCATTAGTGTTTGTGTCTGCACATTACAAGCAGGCATTTATGTGCTTTTTATTTTGTCGGTTTGTGTGCTTTGTTGTCAGTTTCATATCATTATCAAACTAGGGTAGACAATGTGTTTAAACAATTATTTTTGTTATATTTGTTCAAAATATGTTTGCATCCAACATAAACACAATAGATATGTTGTTTTTTTACATTCATAGTGATATGTTTACATTCATAATGATAGTTAATGATCATTTTAGAGGATTTGGTGTTGGAGGGAGGCCTGAAGGGACAGGCTGTTGGTGTTGGCAGCTATCTTGCTAGACTTAGCGATTTTCAAAGCTATTACTGTTAGCTTCTTTTATTGGAAAACAGTTGGGGTGTGGTTTTTGGTTGGATAATTAAAAAAATCTATCTTTCTCTTGATGGTTTCTCCAATGTTGCCTTCCCGATCGTTAAAAGAGACTTATTATAGAAATGAGTGTTCATTAAAATGGAGCCCTTATGGTGGAACAGTTGCTCTCTATCTGACCTTTTGTTGCCCCCATCTGTTTCTCACCTCCTGTAGAAATATATTTTCTGTATTTTAAGCTACTTTGTGTGGGTGATTCACAAAACTTAACCATAGGTGATTTAAAAGAAAAAAAATCGGATTGGATAATAAAGTATATTATCATGGATTGGGATAGAAAACACTCACAAGAATTTCCATTATTAGAATAACCCCCTCATGAGTGACGATTACTGTATAATTGTCACATAAGTTCCACATCCATACAAGTTATTGTCTGGACCATGTTTGCACCATATTTTTAGCAGCAACATTTTGGGGAAACAATTCAGAAGAAGCTGATATATTGAGTTTACTGTGAAATGTATCATCTACCATCAGTAACGACCAAAGGTGAGAACAGGATCCCCCTGGCTGCCTGTGGAGAGCAGTGCAGACAGACCAATGATCAGGGTTTTCACACACTCATTTTCACATTTCATCTCTTTATTTCTCCCCCCTCCCCCAGGGAGCCCTGCCGTCCGACAAGCCTGCTGCCTGCTGATTGGAGCTCTGGGCTGGGTTTGGGAAGGGAAGATGAGCCATTACCTCCAGGTCTGGAGACCCTTCCTCTCCGACTGATGCAGCAGGACTGCACTTCTGTCAAAACCCTGCTTTTGAGACTGAGACGGACACTGCAGGAGGTGGGATATGAACACGCACACCTAGACACAAGCTTACAGACCCTTTGTAACGTGGCTTTATACTTGGATTAAGACATTGACTGTCACAAAGAACAACAAACCCTAGAATAGAAGCTGAAATTCATTATAATCCCTCTTGAACCACATTAAAATACCTCTTTTGATCAATTTATATACGTATTAAATTGTTTTAGAACCAGCAAGGGTGAGGGGTTAGCAAATAATGAGGCAATTGGCATTTAGAACTAAAACATTTCACTGATAAATTCCTCCCTCCCCTGTATAATACGCTCTATTTCAGCTCCATGAAATCATCTCTAAGTGGATGCCTTTCCGCCTTTGTCCCTGTAATCACTTTGTTTTATTAAATTAAGGAGATTGGACATTTGGAGGAGAAAACTTAAAGGCTTACAGTCTTTGAGCGTTTGCCATCATGTTCTTTATATTCACACACGTAAACATGTGTACACACATACTCTACACCTAAATCCTCCTATTTCTTTGGATAATAGTGTCAGCTAAATGCTATGTAATGTAATTCCAGAGTATCCCTCTGCTCTTTAAATACTTTGGTCTGCTTATAGCTAAAGTTATACCTCAGGCTATCAGGCCATCTCATTTACGAATGTCGCGTGAAACCAGGGAAATTACACTTTACCATTATTGATGTGATTAGCTGTAATGGTCACTTAGTAAAGCACTGACACGTTGCAATAGCTGCACAAAGTTTAACTGTAAAAGCCAGGGAGCTATATTGATGGCCCTATGCAGTCATGCAATCTTTCTACTGTGGGAGTTATTTAAAACAGAATGGAAATGGAAAAGAATAATATTACAGGGTGTTTTCTTTTTTTTCATTATGATTATTTTTGACGAACATAAACATGTGATTGGTGTTTTATATGTATGGTAATTGCAATTTGCACAGAGCTTGACTTGGGGCACATTGTCAGTCATTATGATGAAACATTCAATCAACTGCTGATTGCAAATTCCATGTTTAGTTTGAGTTTGCGCCAGTCCAAAACGCTAATTACACTCATTTGGAAAATGGCTTAGGCATAAACAATTGTTTAAGTTTTTTTTTAGCTTCAATAGAACTTATTATACACTTTGTCATTATAAATGTTAGGTACATTAGAAGGATGTTGGTAGTAATACCATATTCTCTGGAAGTTGAGCTGAAAAACAAGCCATTAGTAATGTCTGGATGCCGTTCTCTTGTAAATCTACAAGGGTGACTAACCCTTACCAAATACATCAATGTTATACAGAACCCCATTCAAAAATACAAATGCACAAAAAGACATGTAAAAGGGTGCCCAGACCTTCCCTAATACCCCACCATTAGTACCTCGAGGCTAAGATCAAAGCTAGCTGTGAGGGCCACTCTGAGAATTACAGTCCTCAGAGGCTTATGTACGACTTTCTCCCTTTCTCTTCACTTTTCATCTCTGTGTAGTTTTCCTCCCAGAGCCACTGTGAAAGAGACATGGGACATGAAAATGATATGATAATAATTAGTGGAGAGAGAATAGAGTGGTTATGGGGAGACTAAAGCGAGTGCAGGAGAGAGTGAGAGAGGTTACACAGCAGCAGAACATGAATATGAAAGTGGCGACACTTTGCCCTCTTTGCTTGCTCTGTGGTGTCATTAACTTGCACATTTTGTTAACCTCCATCAAGAGATCCATTCTTCAGCGAGGGGAGGGTGAATCGGTATGTCTGTATGCTTTGCATTTTATTTGCTTGACCTTCTGGTATTGAGCCTGTTCTTTTCTTTTGTTAACCTTAACTTATCTTCTCTCATCTTCTCTTCCCTCTAATGGCATTCAACACACTGGTCAACTTGATATGTCACATAATGTAGTGCCGTTCCAGTCTAATCATTATTAAAAACAAAATGAAAAAGCCTGGACGATGCTTTCAAAGAGGCAGAGAATTACCCTAATGACTCATGTAGTGAAAACTAACAATTATGAACCCAGGCGTTCCAAGTCCACTTTTCATCTCATTATCCCAGATTTGATCCATCTGTTATGCTCTATATCAGCCACTACTGCAGCATAGACTGTATTATATCACCGTTGAACAACCTTATAATAAAAAGAAGAACCTTTTTTTAGGTGTCCCACAAATACAATTACATTGTTTTAAACAATACAATAGAATAACTTGGTAAATGGTTAGGATTGTGCAGCAGTTTTTGCAAACTTCATACATTATCCAGATTTAGGTGATTAGTAGTGCCTCAAGCTAGACTGTCCATCATACTTTTTTAATTAATTAAGTGTTGTTGCCAACTGAGACAGAACATGCTTAATTAAGCTTTAAAAAAGTCCAGTTATATTAGCCAGCTTTATGAACAAGGAAGTCTAATATCATTCAATAGTTGTGAGCAGAAGGACCTGGTAGCAGTAAATAAAATGATAAAAAAACATAAAATAACATACCAGTTTCTTAGTTGCTTTCAAAAAGTTATAACAAGGACAACATCCATTATCAAAAGTTATGGATGGACTGAGGAAAATCTCTCTATTTCCTGTTCATCTCTCTCTACTTACTGCAATAAAGGCTTGAAAATGCCCCTACAGTGTATTTGCTCCATATTACATTAGCATATTTAAAACAGCTGTACAGAATCAATCCATCCTTAAGTTGTTTCCCTCTCAGCAGTTTATGCTGTCGGCTGCACAGAGATACATATCTAATATGCCACTGTCCACGTGTGCCTTTATGTTGCCCTACACAATTATCCCTATTTGTCAATGTCAGCCATGGATTCTAGAAAAACGGTGACATCCTTATTATGATAGGATCTATATATATTATATATATATTATATCCTTATTGCATGTTCTTGCTGTCTTTGTGGGCAATTGGTATGAGGTCTTTTTCAATATCCACACATGCACTGCCAGGCCTTGTTAGCCTTTGTCCCTGCAGCCCCTCGACCCGTCCCAGTGACCCTAACCCCCAGGCAGCTGCTCGCCTTGTGGCAGCAGCTTATTGTTGCTGCCTCCACCAAATCTTATAGAGATAGCTGTCTGTATGATAAAGTGCATTTGACAAATGTATTGTTTATTTCATATGAAGCAGTTGCATTCATCTCTGAAGCCATTGTGAGACCAGCTTTATGAAAAAGGAAAAAGCTAAATTATTAATAACAACAAGTAAAAGAAAGTTAGCAATGCAGGTGCTGATATTTCAAATGTAAAACACTCACTCTGCTTTTCAAAGAACCCAATAAATCGAATTGCTGTTTGTTGTTAAAGATGCTGCCTTCAGACAAAAAGGCCAAATGTCAATGAAAGAGACTGGGAATAATTGGACTGTGAGGTTCTTTTGTTAGATTTTCATTTTGTGATTCAACTGATGTGTGAATGTGATTAAAGGAGTGTATCAAGCTAAAAAACCTGCTTTCCTTTCTATGGCCATTCATCATCTTTAGACATTTAACTTCTAGGTAGTGCAAGTCATTAAATCCAGAGCTCCCAGGCAGCTTTCCTCATTCTCTAATCTGAAAGGATTTTTACTGAACCACATCTAATTGTGAGGACAGTTGTGTGTTACGGCTTGTGGCACAGAGGTGACCTTAAAGAGAATGTGTGTGTGTGTTATAGAGAGAGAGGGAGAGACAGAGAGTGTTAGGGTGTCAGTGAGTGTGCGCCTGTCTCTCCACATGGGGAAAGGCATTGATCACCAATGACACATTGAGGGCCTGCCGCCATAGCGCACCTATAATTCTGATAGGGAGGTATGCTTCTTTAAAAGGTCAGCCAAACCAATAAACCATCAAGTTTATGCTGTGCAAAGATTTTGTCCCTGGAGTTTTTCAGAGCTACCTTCAAAACCTGAAACTAGGCCAAAAACATACACAAACAAAAATATTTTAGCCAAAGCAGCATCTTTTGTTGGATGTTTCTCTCCAACATTAGAGGGGTTGGTTTGCATATAAATTTGCAAGAAGGATAGACCTTTTCTGAAGTGTGGAGGCTGAACACGTTTCAGGGTCATTCTTAACTTTACCTGTTCTTGTTCCTTGTCACGTTTTTGTCATGTGACCTCTCGTATACTTCCTGTGAGTGCTGTCATGTCATCAACATGCTGCATTACATCAATATTAGCAGTCCTGCCTGAAGACATGACTTTATCTTCTCCAGCGTTACCTTCTGTCCTATCATAAGCCCACACAGGTGACATTTAGACCACCGTCTGCTCTCTTTAAGGACTGTGTGTGTCTGCGTACACGTGACAGCTTGTGCACCCTTTGCCACATGAATGTGTGCAGTGTATATGTGTGTGTGTATGTTCGAACCCCCTCTAGCTGCCACTGTCCTCTGCCCACTAGACACCTGTGTGGAGAAGCAGAGCCAAAATGAGTCTGATCGCAGCTGGTTTTAAAAAAACATGGATTATTTAGAAACTTGGTGAGAACAGTCACAAGAGGGATGGATAGGACCAATTGTCTTACATTTTCAGGAACAAAAGGTGCTTCAAAGATTAAGGGACAAGATGTATTATTGCCCTGCAGATATTCTGTTGAAAATGACTTATTCACTGAGGTTTGAGGATGCTGCAGCTCCAATGAGCACCTATCTTGATATAACTGGTCTTTCTTACCTCTCTCTAGCTTCTTATTGAATGAGAAGCTAGACTTAATTGTGTAATGTTTTTGTCAATATTGCTTATCATCACATTTAATTGGAGGTATTGAAAGTGAAAATACTTGCACATTCCTTTATCTTGTTACAAACAGAGGAGTATTAACTGTGACTGTTCATTCTATGCAGATCACTATTTGACCAGCAGCACTTAAAGACCTCATCTTGATGTCATTTATGTTTTTGTCTTTTTCAGAGCACTGAGACAAGTCCTGCAAGCAGCCTCCAGTCTCTACCCATAAGCCCTTGCAGTGAAAAGTCCCTTCCATTTAAGGTAACATAAAGCAGACCATTGTATGTTGCTTTAGGCATTTCAACAATACTGAATTTAAGATAAAAAGGAGAGATTTACTCTATTAAAGTGTCTAATACGTTTCTGCCCAGTTTAATATTTTACAAAAACATACCTTTTTTTACACAACATACATCAGTTTTGTGGAGCTCTGTAGATGTGTATTTCGGTGGCCAAAAATGAAACTACACACATTTACTCAAACACTGATCAAATACATAGAGCCTGTTAGTTTCATTAAAAGAACACAGCAGTCGGCCTGTGATCAATAATAGGAACAGAATCCTCTTTTGATCCATGTGTCTCCTCCAGTTTTTCCATCATCAGAACAATTAACAGCCTTTTTTCCACGTTGGCTTATAATGAATCACAAAGAGTTCAAATAGGAAGAAATAACAGCACGACAGGGAGGGAGAACAAGACAAATAAAGAAGTGAAAAGCAATGAGAGGTGAGGATACATGGTATGAGAAAGGGGCAAAGTGCTTTGCTTTGCTTGACAGGCCCAAGACCCCCCTCTGTCAACCTAGTCCATCAGCAATGTGTGATAAGATGTATTAATGCTGTGTGTGTGTGTGTGCGTGTGTGTGTGTGTGTGTGTGTGTGTGTGTGTGTTGTGTGTGTGTGTGTGTTGTGTGTGTGTGGTGTGTGTGTGTGTGTGTGTGTGTGTGTGTGTGTGTGTGTGTGTGTGTGTGTGTGTGTGTGTGTGTGTGTGTGTGTGTGTGTGTGTGTGTGTGTGTGTGTGTGTGTGTGTGTGTGTGTGTGTGTGTGTGTGTGTGTGTGTGTGTGTGTGTGTGTGTGTGTGTGTGTGTGTGTGTGTGTGTGTGTGTGTGTGTGTGTGTGTGTGTGTGTGTGTGTGTGTGTGTGTGTGTGTGTGGTGTGTGTGTGTGTGTGTGTGTGTGTGTGTGTGTGTGTGTGTGTGTGTGTGTGTGTGTGTGTGGTGTGTTCGGTTTACCAAGGGAGAGCTTTTGTCAAGCTTTTCTCTGGGATTTAGTTGGATGGCAGCATAGCTCTTGTTAGACCGGAGAGAGAAGCAGTAGGGGCGAACCTTTTCAACTCTGTGCTGCTTTTTTAACCCCCCCTTCTTTCACATACGGGATGTACAGAATAGTAACATCTCTATAAAATGTAGTGCAGTATAATGCGACGACAAGGTAAGGCCTTAGTCCCTTACACAGTGCCAATGTAGTCGTGTTTGTGTGTGTGAGAGAGGGTGGATGCTTGTGTGAGTACATGTCCTCTTTATTGACCTACATGGAGTATCAGTGGCAGCGCGAGGATAAGAAAACATTTCAAAATCTAGGGTGTTACCCAGCATGCAGAAAGCTGCCCTGGCTCAAACTTCCAGGGTCTTTGCTCTGTTTCTCCATCTTCACGCATGGAAACATAGGAAAGTTTAAATAGAAAAGTTAGAAACATATTTGGGAAAATGTCTTTTATATTTCTATTAAACAGTCCAAACCTCTATTATAAAGACTGGACATGAAACCAATAAATAATTGCAATATTCCAGCTATAAAAATGGATTAACTCAGATGTAGCTTGTATGGAGAACATGTTTTAACATACTGTAATACACAATATTGAAACTTGATTAGGGAGAAAGAAACTTGTTTTGATTATTTTTTTAAGATCCTAAAAAATATCCTTAAAGGTGGGGTATATGTAATTTTGGAGAAACCAGCTCGAGTGCGTTAGAATTTGAAAATACACAGCCGGAACAAATCTGCCACTTCCTTACAGAGCCCCTCCTCCAACACACACAAACGCACACATGACCAATGAGGGCAGGAGATAAGTTTGTGCACAGATGGAAGGCTGACAGGCAGGTAGGCCATCCAGTTATTTTAGCCGGGCCGGCTCAGATGATTGGTCGTGCTTTTTACAGTACTACGGCTCTTCCACAGATGGCATTTTTGTTATGTATTTATTGTCAAAGCATTTAATATATTCATTGCTATCTGTGGGATGTTAAGAGCATTCCATGGAATATAACAAAAAGTGTTTCTGAAATAAATGACATACCCCACCTTTAAGATCCGATTTTAAGAACAGGTTTGATTGATTGAAAAATTGATTGTGGTTTTTCCAAATTGAGAGAAGGAGGGTCAGTGGCATCAAAAACAACAGCCAAAGGACAAAAGGTTAGGTAGGAGACTTTAAGAGGTAGCAGAAGTGTGATCGGTATTTATAGCAGAGAATGAGTAAGCAGGTGGGAGGCAAAGGCTAACCCTTTGACAGAGCTGAAGGCATCGAAAAGACAACACAAATCTGGAGGTGGCCTATTGCATGAGGGAAATATGGAGAAACAGTTGCAATGCTGAGCATTTTACATTGTTTTACTTGATTGTAAGATAGGCTCAGGAGCCAGTTCTTACAAACGGAATGCATTTAGTTTGAAGATATTAAGTTGGATACATTTGTATAAAGGAAACATTTACATACAGTAGGAGTGCAAGAGATGGAAGTGAGAGAGAGGAAGAGTTTGAGGAGGAGCATGAAAGAGAAAGAGGGATGGGAGGGAAATAAGAAAAAGAAGGTTTGAGGGAGGGGCGAGAAGCAGAGACGTTATCCTGGCGCTCAAGAAAACGACTCCGTGGGTGTAAAAATAATCTGGAGTAGCCACCTGAGAGACTGCAGTGTCACAGTGCAACCCAGTTTAATTTAGACTCAATGCATATGACATGATTTTAAACAGATTTTGTCCCAGTTTAAGTGTTCTACTGTATTTTAAAAGACTGAGGTAAAAATGATGAATAGAGTTGTTACAAGAGGTTTATTCAGACCACCTGAGTTTAAAAACAGCAACTAGGATAGCAACTTTTGTAGCTAATTAAGTAACATTTGTGTATGTTCACCTGGTTTGCAGACATGAGGAACTTCTTTTTATAGTCAGACATGTATCATTGTGTCAAATGCTGCATAATTAGAAATGAATAATGTATAATTGTAATGACTGCCTATATATAATTACAGGCTGTTCCCCACACCGAGGTCAGTGGGGGCGCTAAAAAGACTGTGCACAAAACCATGTCAAGATACAAGTCTCATGGGCGCATAAACTATACACGAAACAAACTCATGCAACAGACAATAATAAACACATACCCCTAAAGATCCCACTCCTTTGTGAGATCCGTTTGCATCAACTTCATAAACGTTGTCCAATTCTGTCTACAACAAAAATATGTATCCGTGCCTTGTTGGCAAACATTTTGTGTAAAAAACAATGTAAGTGTGTCACGCTGCAACATAGTGTTTTCTTTTTATATATCATTCCATTACTCACCAGTATTCCTTTGAGATTCATGCAGTTCTGTTATATAATGCATTTCTGTAGAGCCTTAATGGACAGAATAGGATGTATAATCAGTAACTAAAGGGCACACACATAATGTTATATTCATGCATAAAATAGAGACACAGCATATACAGTATATACTGTTCAGTATGTATTTGTGTTTTATAAAAAAGCTTCAGCAAAATATGGTTCTTCTGTGTGGGAAGCACATTATATTTTACCAAGGGAGGGGATATTTTGTGTGGCTGCATCTATGAACTATATTTAATTACATTATAGAAAAAGTTGGAGAGCAAAACAGCCGGCCAGTCTCATCCGTGTCTCTTTTTTTGGCTCTCTCATTCCTGGTAACCTCTCCACAAACACACGTTCCTGCCCGTTGTCTGGGCCTCACACTCAAAGCTAGCATGGCTAGTTTTCTCACACAGAGAGAACATTCTTGGGAGTTTCCGTCCTGAATTACTTTATTTTCTGCTAAACATCTTTTCCTCCATAAAACTGTTTTGATATGAATTATGTAATGTTTAAATAAGGATTTTAGATCTCAAAAGAATCATTACGCCCACATCCTAAAGGGTAATGTCCTATAATGTATTCTAATACATTAGATCACTCTTTTTCTGGGACAAATTATACTTTGTGGCTGTTGTTTAAAAGGGAAGATTACATCGTATTACCAGACCTACCTCATCCTAACACTAAACAGCTGTGTCATCTCAATGAAATGTAATGAAAAAAAAACATTTTCTGAAGGAACCATCCATGACACCTGCTGATAAGAGGAGATCAGGAGTGAGCAGTAACTAAAGAACAATATTCAAGAGACTGAAGCATCAGCTAGAGTAGAACATATTGACAGCAAAATGTCCTTACAACAATAATAATGATTCCAGATGGCAAATGTTTCCTGCCAAGCATCTTAAAAGGTTGTGCCTTTTAAGTTTCAAAGAGTCTCAATGAAATCAGAACACATAGACAATTATTCATAGTCAAAATACTCTAGAATTGTATCTGGAGTCTGACTGGATGTTTGATCTACAGTAAGCAGTAGTTAAAGTCTGTCTAGTCTGGTCCGCTAATATTTCATGTTTTATATTACCTTTGATTTGTCTGTGGGATCCTGTCTCAGCAACATGAAATACAGTACAGTATTTCACTGCATTTGATTAGCCTAATTTTTACAACCTCCTATGCTATTTTTAATATGTCTCAGTGATAGTTCCAGCTCTGGGGGTATTGCTGTTTTAAGGATCTAGGCAGGTGACAAATCTCTCTTATATTTCAAACAACATCAATATTACAGGAGTGGTGTGACAGGTTTCCTAACTCTCTGTGCGAGGTGTCAGCTTTACTGCCTGTTGAGGTGCTTCAGACAGCTGGAGTACCTATAGCATCACATGAGTGCTCCTGCTCGTCACACACAACATGTCTTTTGGTTTATACAGGACAGTTAAAGCATAACAGATTGTCCTGTACACATGTGTCCAGAAATACTCAAAGCTCCTGAATCACAGTATACTTGAAGAGATGGTGGCCCTGTCTTTATAGTCTACTGACAACAGAAGCAATTCATATAGACAGGTGTAAAAGGTCACTATTTTAATTGTAAATTCTTAAAGGTATGATATTGTATCTGTTTATCAGCTGATTAATTTTCCATCAGCTCCTCTCTCTTTTTTTGT